CAAGGGGGGGGGGGGATTTTTTAAGGGTTTCGGGGCCCTTTTTTACCAAAACCCCAACCCCCCCTTTGGAAAAAGGGGGACCTTGGAAAGGGGGGAGGAGCCTTTACCCAAAAACCTTTTGGCAAGACTAAAGGGGGAGGAGCCCCGTGCAAGCCGGGGGGTGGGGCACCGTCCGATGGGGGGGGAGCGATACACCGGGTGCAAGACTGAAAAAAAAAGGAGCCGGTAAACGGATTTTTGCAAACTAAAGGGGGAAAGGACCCGGGTAAAAACACCTTTTGCAAGCCCTGGAGGGGGGGAGCCGGTACACCGGGGAAAGGGATTTGGGGGGGGAGGAGCCGGTACCCCTGTGCAAACGGGGGGGGAGGGGGCCGGTAAAAACCTTTTGCAAAAAAACTGGGGGAGGAAGCCGGTACACCTGTGCAAGACTGAAGGGGGGGGAGCCGGGTTACCCCCTGTGCAAGACTGGGGGGGAGGACCGGTAAAAACCGTGAAAGGACTGAGGGGGGGACCCACTACACCTGGGGAAAGGATGGGAGAGGGGGCCCCGGATTTTCTATTTTAAAAAGCCGGGGGGGCCGGAGAAGACCACTTGCTGTGGAGGATTACAGATTTTGGAAAAACCCTTTTTCCGGGGAACTTTCCCCCCTTTCGGGTACAATTTTTTTTTTTGCGAAATTTAATGGTTTTTAACAGGAAGAGAAATGTTTTCCTTTTGTTTTTTAATCCCCCGGGGCGCTGGAACCAAATTTTTTTTTTTAATTAACTTTTTTGTCCATAAGAAAAGGGATTGGGGGGAGTTTTGCATTCCTGGCAGAAAGAGGACCGCCCACGGACTTTTACAGCACAGCATTCCAGAGGGGGGGGGGTTTAGAGGGGGGTTTGAAGTTTCAAAGGAAAATATTTTTTTTAAAGTTTAATTTTTTTCTTACATTAAAAAGCCATCCTTGGTCCCAGTTTAGTGAAAAAAAGTCATTTTTTTTGCTGCCGGGGGAAAAGGGAAAGGCTTTCCCCAAAAGTCCCCCTCCCCCCCCCAGTGATCACCCCTTGTAAAATTTTTAAATTTTGTAGAAGGAGGGGGAAAAAGCTTTTCCCCTCATCCCCCTCCCCCAGTGATCAGACTGTAAAATTGAAAACTTTTAGAAGAGGGGGAAAGCATTTCCTCAATCTCCCCCTCCCCCAGGATCAGATTTGTATTTTGTAACTTTGAAAGAAGGGGGGAGGAAGCGCCCCGGGTCAACGGGTTTTCTGCGTTTCTTGAAATTGCGGGCTGAAATTTCATTTGTATCAGTTTTTAAAACTTTTTTTCTGTTATTTGCAGCGTCGTTTTTTCCATCCCCAGAAAGCGACGTTTCTGCATGCAAAATTGTATGAAAAAAATTTAAGGCTGACGATGAGGATATTGCCGGCCCCGATTCATTTCTGACCCATTTCCACGTTTAAAAACCAAAAACAAACCGAACAAAGAAATGGGGCAAAAATTTCCCACCCGCCCCCTCCAACCCTCGCCTGCATCCCGAAAGCTTTCCCCCACGAAAAACAGGTGAAAATTTGGGCGCCGGGTTTTTAATTTGGGCCCGAAATATTTGGGGGAAGAAAACCCTAAAGGGGCCCGGGCACGCGATCACATAATGTGTGTTTACACTCCGGGCACGTGTTAATTGTTTTCCCAAACCTTAGGAAAAACCTTCCATTAGGAAACTCTTCAGGGGGGAAATGACGCTAATCCCGGGGTTTTTTTCTTCCATCGAGACGCCAACCTTTTAGGGGGAGACCCCATTGTTTATTTTCCCTTTAAAAACCGGGCCCTTTAAAGGGGGAAATGCCCCAAGTTTTCTTGCTTTACATTTTCCCTATTTTTATCATTATATTTCCAAAATAGAGGTGTGTAAGGGCTCCCCCTTTTTGGAGAATGTGCATTGCAGGCCTCTTCCCCCTTTAAGGAAAAAGCTCCTGATATCTTGGGGGAAAGGGAAGACTCCTGAAATCTTGGGGCGGGGCGAGCTCCTCAATCTTGGGCAGGAATGAGCTTTCCCGCTTTGGGTTTGGCACCCCCTTTGGGTCAGGACTAACAGTGAGGAGAACCTTTCCCCCCCCAAGAGTGATTTTCTTAAAAGCTCATTCCTGCACCAAGAAATCAGGATCGCATTCCTGCCCAAGATATTTAGGAGCTCTTCCTCCCCCAAAAAATCAGGGTCTCATTCCGCCCCAATATAGGGGGAGCTCATTTTCCCGCCCCCCAATATCAGGAGCTCCCTCCTGCCCCAAATTTTTGAGGGGCCATTCCCGTCCCAAGAAAATTAGGAAACTCATTCTTTTCCCCAAAATTTTGAGGAGCTCATTTCCCCCAAAAAGAATCAGGACTTTATTCCCCCGCCCCACGAATATGAGGGCTCATTCCTGCCCCGAGATAAACAGGGGCCCATTCCTGCCCCAAAATATGGAGCCCTTCCTGCCCCGAGATATGAGGACCCATTCCCCGCCCCGAATATCAGAAGCTCATTCCGCCCCAGATATAAGGAGCTCATTTCCCGCCCCCGAAAATATCAGGAAACTCTTTCCTGCCCCGAGAATTTTCAGGAGCTCATTCCGCCCCCGAGAATCAGAGCGTCATTCCTGCCCCGAGATATCAGGAGCCTCTTTCCTTCTCTGAGATATGAAGAGCCAATCCTGCCCCGAGATATCGAAGCTCATTCCCTGCCACCAGATATCATTAGCGTCATTTCCCCTGCCCCAAGATATCAAAGGATCTCAGTCCTGCCCCAAGATATGAGGGAAGGCTCATTCCCTGCCCTGCAAGATATGCAGAGCTCATTCCTCCAGCCACCAAGATATTCAGGAGCTCCAGTTCCTTGCCCCCAAGATATCCAGATTAGCTCAGGTTCCTGCCAGCAAGATATCATGAGCGACATTTCCCCCTGCGCACCAAGAAATCATGATTAGCTCATTCCCGCCCCGAGATATCAGAGGAGGCACAGTTTTCCCCTGCCCCCTGAGATATCAGGAGCTCAATCCCAAGCCCCCGAGATATTCAGGAGCTCATTCCCTCTGCCCTAAAGATAAGAGGAGCTCAGTCCCTCGCCCAAGATATCAGAAGCTCATTTGCTGCCCCGAAGATATCAGGAGCTCACTGCTGGCCAGCCCCGAGCTATACAGGATCACATTCTTCCTTCTCTGCGACTGGCCCAAGATATGAGGAGCTCATTTATCCCTGTCCCTGAGATATCAGAAGCTCATTCCTGCCCCAAGATATCAGGAGCTCATGTTCCTGCACCAAGATATCAGGAGCTCATTTCCCTGCCCCAAGATATGCAGGAGCTCATTCCTGCACCAAGATAATCAGGATCTCATTTACCTGTCCCGAAGATTTCAGAAGCTCATTCCTGGGTACCCTGCCCCGAGATATCAGCAGCTCATTCTTGCCACAAGATTATGAGGAGCTCATTCTTTCCTGTCCTTAGATATGATGGAGCTCAGTCCTAGCCACCCGAAGATATAAGCGCACTTCCTGCCCCCCCCCCCAAGATATGAGTAGATCATATCCTGCCCCAGATATGAGGAGCTCATTCCTGCCCCAAGATATGAGGAGATCATTCCTGCCCCAAGATATCAGGAGCTCATTTCCTGCCCCGAAGATCTCAGGAGCTCATTTCTGCCCCGATAGAGGACATCAAGATATCAGCTCATTCCTGCCCCGAGATATGAGGAGCTCATTCCTGCCCCGAGATTCAGGAGCTCATTCCTGCCCCGAGACATCAGGAGCTCATTCCTGCCCCGAGATATGAGGAGCTCATTCCTGCCCCAAGATATCAGAAGCTCATTCCTGCCCCGAGATATCAGGAGCTCATTCCCTGCCCCGAGATATCAGGAGCTCATTCCTGCCCCGAGATATCAGGAGCTCATTCCTTCTCTGAGATATGAGGAGCTCATTCCTGCCCCGAGATATCAGAAGCTCATTCCTGCCACAAGATATATCAGGAGCTCATTCCTGCCCCAAGATATCAGGAGCTCATTCCTGCCCCAAGATATGAGGAGCTCATTCCTGCCCTGAGAATATGAGGAGCTCATTCCTGGCCACAAGATATCAGGAGCTCATTCCTGCCCCAAGATATGTTAGCTCATTCCTGCCACAAGATATCAGGAGCTCATTCCTGCCCCAAGATATGATTAGCTCAGTTCCCTGCCCCAAGATATGAGGAGCTCATTCCTGCCCCAAGATATAAGGAGCTCATTCCTGCCCCGAGATATGAGGAGCTCATTCCTGCCCCCAGATATGAGGAGCTCATTCCTGCCCCAAGATATCAGAAGCTCATTCCTGCCCCGAGATATCAGGAGCTCATTCCTGCCCCGAGATATCAGGAGCTCATTCCTTCTCTGAGATATGAGGAGCTCATTCCTGCCCTGAATATCAGAGCTCATTTTTCTGCCCCAAGATATCAGGAGCTCATTCCTGCCCCCAAGATATCAGGAGCTCATTCCTGCCCAAGGACTGATATGAGGAGCTCATTCCTGCACCAAGATATCAGGATCTCATTCCTGCCCCAAGATTTGATTAGCTCATTCCTGCCACAAGATATGAGGAGCTCATTCCTGTCCTGAGATATATGAGGAGCTCATTCCTGCCCCGAGATATTCAGAAGCTCATTCCTGTCCCGAAGATATCAGTTAGCTCATTCCTGCCCCAAGATATGAGGAGCTCATTCCTGCCCCGAGATTAAGGAGCTCATTCCTGCCCCAAGATATAAGGAGCTCATTCCTGCCACAATATATAAGGAGGTCCCAAGGAAAAGAAGCCATAAAATAACAATTATTATTCCAAACAAAACCCTCCTGGGGAGACCATCCTTGCTGAAACCTCACCGCAAGGCATCAGGCAGGCTGTAGTTCCATAGGTAACGCCCACATGTGATGTTCAACTGGTAGACCTGTACAAGACTGAAGGGGAGGAAGCCGGTACACATGTGCAAGACTGAAGGGGAGGGCCGGTACACCTGTGCAAGACGAATGAAGGGGAGGAGCCAGTACACCTGTGCAAGACTAGAGGGGAGGAGCAGGTACACCTGTGCAAGACTGGAAAGGGAGGAGCTGGTACACCACCTGTGCAAGACTGAAGGGGAGGAGCCGGTACACCTGTGCAAGACTGAAGGGGAGGAGCCGGTACACCTGTGCAAGACTGAAGGGGAGGATCCAGTACTTCTATGCAAGACTGAAGGGGAGGAGCCAGTACTTCTATGCAAGACTGCAAGGGGAGGAGCCGGGACACCTGTGTAATAGACTGAAGGGGAGGAGCGCCGGGACACCTGTGCAAGACTGAAGGGGAGGAGCCAGTACAACTGTGTAAGACTGAAGGGGAGGAGCTGATACACCTGCGCAAGACTAAAGGGAGGAGCCGGTACACACCTGTGCCACACTGAGGGGAGGAGCTGTTACACCTGTGCAAAACTGAAGGGGAGGAGCAGGTATGCCTGTTCAAGACTGAAGGGGAGGAGCCACTACACCTGTGCCAAAGACTGAAGGGGAGGAGCCTTTACACTTGTGCAAGACTGAAGGGGAGGAGCCGGTACACCTGTGCAAGAAAGAAGGGGAGGAGCTGGTACACCTGCGAAGACTGAAGGGGAGGAGCTGGTACACCTGCGCAAGACTTAAGGGGGAGGAGCCGGTACACCTGTAGAGGACTCTAACAGGGAAATCCTGAGGCCAAGAGAAAATGTTTGAAAAGTCTCACAGTTAATAACTAGTAAATATTAGTGACAAATTAAATTCAAAAAGTTCATAAATGATAAAATGCTAAAATGATAAAACTATAATGGAACTATACATGGATTACAGGATCCCAACCCTGCAGCGATACTCAGATGCTTGTGCTTGAAGTAGTAGTATATTATTGCGCACTCACTGGATGGGTCTGCAGTCTGTGTTACAGGGATCCCTCCCCTGGGTGCTTGGATGGGCCAGGATCATGAGAAGGTTCTGTATTCAATATCTCCATAGAGGGGCCACACAGACCGCGCCCATAATGTAGGAGTATAAAGTATTCTATTCCATGGAAAATATAATATATAGGATGTAGAGTACAGCATTGCAGAGTGAGGGCAGCACTGACCAAGGACAAAGATGGCCGCCGGACCTTCACGAGGCTCCTCCTAATCCACCACGCCATGACGTCAGCCCGCCGGAGCCTCCTGAAAGTAGCATTGCTGGTCAGAGAACTAAGCAGCCAAACAATCCAGAATCCCAGTAGATGTGTACAGTACAGAGTACATAGTCGGGTGATGTACAGTACAGAGTACATAGTCGGGTGATGTGTACAGTACAGAGGGTGATACATAGTCAGGTGATGTACAGTACAGAGTACATAGTCAGGTGATGTACAGTACAGAGTACATAGTCAGGTGATGTGTACAGTACAGAGTACATAGTCGGGTGATACAGTACAGAGTACATAGTCGGGTGATGTGTACAGTACAGAGTACATAGTCAGGTGATGTGTACAGTACAGAGTACATACATAGTCGGGTGATGTGTACAGTACAGAGTACATAGTCGGGTGATGTACAGTACAGAGTACATAGTCAGGTGATGTGTACAGTACAGAGTACATAGTCAGGTGATGTACAGTACAGAGTACATAGTCAGGTGATGTGTACAGTACAGAGTACATAGTCGGGTGATGTACAGTACAGAGTACATAGTCAGGTGATGTGTACAGTACAGAGTACATAGTCGGGTGATGTACAGTACAGAGTACATAGTCAGGTGATGTACAGTACAGAGTACATAGTCGGGTGATGTGTACAGTACAGAGTACATAGTCGGGTGATGTACATACAGAGAGTACATAGTCGGGGAGGTGTACAGTACAGAGTACATAGTGATGTGTACAGGTGATGTACAGTACAGAGTACATAGTCGGGTGATGTGTACAGTACAGAGTAACATAGTCGGGTGATGTACAGTACAGAGTACATAGTCAGGTGATGTGTACAGTACAGAGTACATAGTTGGGTGATGTGTACAGTACAGAGTACATAGTCGGGTGATGTGTACAGTACAGAGTACATAGTCGGGTGGATGATACAGTACATAGTACAGGTACATACAGTCATAGTGGTGATGTGTACAGTACAGAGTACATAGTCGGGTGATGTGTACAGTACAGAGTACATAGTCGGGGTGATGTGTACATACAGAGTACATAGTCGGGTGATGTGTACAGTACAGAGTACATAGTCAGGTGATGTGTACAGTACAGAGTACATAGTCGTCGGTGATGTGTACAGTACAGAGTACATAGTTGGGTGATGTACAGTACAGAGTACATAGTCGGGGAAGGTGTACAGTACAGATGACATACAGTACAGAGTACATAGTCAGGTGATGTACAGTACAGAGTACATAGTCAGGTGATGTACAGTACAGAGTACATAGTCAGGTGATGTACAGTACAGAGTACATAGTCGGGTGATGTGTACAGTACAGTCAGGTGATGTACAGAGTAGTCACATGATGTGTACAGTACAGAGTACATAGTCAGGTGATGTACAGTACAGAGTACATAGTCGGAGTACATAGTGATGATGTGTACAGTACAGAGTACATAGTTGGGTGATGTGTACAGTACAGAGTACATAGTCAGGTGATGTACAGTACAGAGTACATAGTCGGGTGAGGTGTACAGTACAGAGTACATAGTCAGGTGATGTTACAGTACAGTACAGAGTACATAGTCGGGTGATGTACAGTACAGAGTACATAGTCAGGTGATGTGTACAGTACAGAGTACATAGTCAGGTGATGTACAGTACAGAGTACATAGTCGGGATGTATGTGTACAGTACAGAGTACATAGTCAGGTGATGTACAGTACAGAGTACATAGTCAGGTGATGTACAGTACAGAGTACATAGTCGGGGGAGGTGTACAGTACAGAGTACATAGTCACATGATGTATGCTGACAAAATAAATAGAACATATTTCCTCCCTGGATCTGCATCCTATTGGCCGATAATTCTATGTGGAGTCGTTGAGCTTTTCTTTTACCGAATTTCCATTGATTTTGTTTTCCCAATCAGAAGGTTACATTCTGCTCCAATCCATTGTCAGCGTTCAAACCAAAACTATGCCTGTCCTGCAGCACCCCCTACTGATCAAATATGGTCACTGGAGATCTTTCCTGCATTCCCATTCTTGCTTACCACTTACACTATATTGCCCCAAGTATCGGGTTTCCGCCCTTTCCACACACGTGACCTTTAATGACTTCCCAGTCTTAGTCCGTAGGGTTCAATATTGAGTTGGCCCCGCCCTTTCCACACACGTGACCTTTAATGACTTCCCAGTCTTAGTCCGTAGGATTCAATATTGAGTTGGCCCTGCCCTTTCCCCGCACATGACCTTTAATGGCCCCCCAGTCTTTGCCCGTAGAGTTCAATATTGAGTTGGCCCCGCCCTTTTCCCGCACATGACCTTTAATGGCCCCCCAGTCTTAGCCCGTAGGGTTCAATATTGAGTTGGCCCCGCCCTTTCCCCGCACATGACCTTTAATGGCCCCCCAGTCTTAGCCCGTAGGGTTCAATATTGAGTTGGCCCCGCCCTTTCCCCGCACATGACCTTTAATGGCCCCCCACTCTTAGCCCGTAGGGTTCAATATTGAGTTGACCCCGCCCTTTCCACACACATGACCTTTAATGGCCTCCCAGTCTTAGTCCGTAGGGTTCAATATTGAGTTGGCCCCGCCCTTTCCCACACACATGACCTTTAATGGCCCCCCCAGTCTTATCCGTAGGGTTCAATATTGAGTTGGCCCCGCCCTTTGCAGCTATAACAGCTTCAACTCTTCTGGGAAGGCCGTCCACAAGGTTTAGGAGGGTGTCTATGGGAAGGTTGGACCATTCTTCCAGAAGCACATTTGTCAGGTCAGGCACTGATGTCGGGGGAGGGGGCCTGGCTCAGTCTCCGCTCTAATTCATCCCAAAGGTGTTCTATGGGGTTGAGGTCAGGACTCTGTGCAGGCCAGTCAAGTTCCTCCACCCCAAACTGGCTCCTCCATGTCTTTATGGACCTTGCTTTGTGCACTGGTGCGCAGTCATGTTGGAACAGGAAGGAGCCATCCCCAAACTCCCCAAAAATAAAAAAAAATTAGATGGAGAAAGTAATAAAGTATATCTAAAGCCTAGATATTTTTGGGGAGATTTCCATCCACTTCCTGTCCCATCAACACAAAAGGAAATGAGAGGCGGTCTTACCAAAGAGAGGGTCATCTGCTGAGTGGCCTAGATCTTCTACTGAGTGCCCTGGGTCTTTTATTGAGTGGTCCAAGTATTCTATTGAGTGGCCCAGATCTTCCACTGATTGCACCAGCTCTTCTACTGAGTACGTGGGTCTTCTACTGACTGGGCTAGGTCTTTTACTGCTTGGCCTGGGTCATCTACTGGGTGTCCTAGGTCTGCTACTGCTTGGCCTGGGTCTTCTAGAGTGGCCCAGGTCCTCTATTAGGTGCCTTCTTCTGATTAATCCAATTCTTCTACTGAGTAACCCTTGTTCTTCTACTGAGTGGCCCAGATCTCCTACTGAATGCTCTGGGTGTTTCACTGAGTGGCTAAGATCTTCTACTGAGTGCCCTGGGTCTTTTACCGAATGACCTAAGTCTTCTATTGAGTGGTCCAGATCTTCTACTGAGTGCACCAGCTCTTTTACTGGGTATGTGGGTCTTCTACTGGGTGGCCCAGGTCTTCTATTCAGTGGCGCAATTGTTCTACTAAATTCCTGGTCTTCTACTGAGTGGCCACGATCTTCTATTGAATGCCTTGGACTTCTACTGATGCTCTGAGTCTTCTACTGAGTGCCCTAGGTCTTGTACTGAGTGGTCCAGTCTTCTACTGCTCAGTAGTAGACTCAAGCTTTCAACTGAGTTCCCTGTGTCTTCTACAGAGTGTCTCAGGTAGTTTTACTAAGTGGCTTGGGTCTTCCACTGAGTGCCCTGGGTCTTCTCTTGAGTGCCTTGGGTCTTCTACTGACTGGCCAAGATCTTCTACTGAGTGTCCCAGGTCTTCTACTGAGTATCCTAGGCCTTGTACTGAGATTCCCGAGTATTCTACTGAGTGCCTTAGATCTTCTGCTGAGTACCCAAGGTCTTCTACTGAGTTTCCCATGTCTGCTACTGAGTGCCTTGGGTCTTCTACTCTGTGCCCTAGTCTTCTATTAAGTGGCCTGGGTCTTCCACTGAGTGCCCCGGGTCTTCTGTTGAATGCCTTGGGTCTTCTACCACTTGGCCTGGGTCTTCTGCTAAGTTCCCCAGGTTTTCTACTAAGTGCCTTGGGTCTTCTACTGACTGGCCAAGATCTTCTAATGCGTGTCCCAGGTCTTCTACTGAGAGTCCTAGATCTTCTGCTGAGTACCCAAGGTCTTCTACTGTGTTTCCCATGTCTGCTAAAGAGTGCCTTGGGTCTTCTACTCAGTGCTGTAGACTTCTGCTGAGTGACCAAGGTCTTCTACTGAGTTTCCCATGTCTGCAACTGAGTACGTTGGGTCTTCTACTGAGTGCGCTAGTCTTCTATTAAGTGGCCTGGGTCTTCCACTGAGTGCCCCGGGTCTTCTAT